CAGGATGCCCCACAGGCCGTGGACGGGGGATGGGGTGGGGGGGGGGGAGGGGAGGGGGAGGGGGAGGGGAAGAGAGGCGAAGGTGGATAAACTGAGACCCACTCTGTGCCCTCAGCGCAGGCCGCTCCATGCCAGCCGTGGGATGAGCAGGATGGGGGCCCCTCAGGAAGCTGACACGGGGAACTCACCCAGGGCCACACACCAGGAAAGCTCGAGTCCACGGCCTGTGGGGCATCCTGGCTGTTTGCGCCTGGTCCTCACAGGGGCCACACAGGCGCCCCCAGGCCTGGGCAGTCCCGCCCGCCTTCGCTCCTCACAGGAGAGAAGCTGAGGACCGTGAACAAGGGGCCAAGGCTTTGCAGCAAGAAGGAGGGAAGGGTCTCCAGACGTCCCATATGAACAGGCTCCAGCCCTGACTGCACACCTCACGGCCACCCTTTGTCACCACAAAAGCCTTCAGCAGGCGGCCTCACCGCCGTCTCTACAGACATGGCTGGTGCAGAGCTTCCGCGCACCCTCGAGTTCTGTGATGGCGCGGATGGACACAGGCACCTGGCCCCTCCCCCACCAGCGCCCCGGCAGGGGGTGGAGGACATGGGTGCCGTGTGACCAGCCAGCACTCAGGGCAGGAAGAAGAGGGGCTCCAGCTTTAAGGAGTGACAGTGAGGAAGGCAGGAAGGAATAGGGGGGAGGGGAAGGAAGAAGAAAAGCCTTGAGAGGATCAAACTAGTCCTCAAGCACCTACCTGCCTGCTGGGATGAACCCCAACATGCTTTAGGGGGCGAGGCAAGACGCAGACACGAAACACACACAGCAGCAGAATCAAAGTTACTGACATGTTGAAGGAGCAACAAATATGACCCATAATCTACAAAAAAAGGCAACAGAAACAGATGTAGAAAGGATAAAAATGATGGAGTTTGCTGAAAATAAATTTGAAACAGATATTATAAATGTAACCAAAGATTTAAAGGAAAACATGGACACAAATGAAAGTTCTAGAGCTGAAAAAGACAGCCTCAGAAATAAATTCACTGAATAGGCCTAACAGCAGATTAAAACGTAAAGAAGAACAGATACAACTATATCCAAACTGGAGCAAAGAGGAAAAATGGACTGAAAAAAAAAAACAAAACCGAAAGAGCTGTAGAGACCTGTGTGACAGTCTCCCATCAGGAAGCCAGAGTCCAAGAACAAAAGAGAAGGGAAGCAACCACGCAAAAGCTTCTCCCAAATCTCAGTGAAGTCATAAACCTACAGGGTGAAACAGCTCAAAGAGCCCCAAGCAAAAGAAACACAAAGAAAATCAAACTAAAGCAAAACAATCAAGTTGCTGCTCACCAGCTAGAAAGACAAACTTGGCAGTCAGGAAAAAAGACACACGATATACAGAAAATGAAGACGAGAACAACAGCCCAGTTCTCCTCGGGAACAATGGCACACAGAGAACAATGGGACAATACCCTTAAAGCACTGAAGGGAAAAAATGGACAAGCTAGAATTCTGCTCACAACAAGAGCATCTTTCAAAAACAGAGACAAAGACCTTTTTCAGATAAACAAAAGCTGAGAGAACTGACCAGCAGCAACTTGTGTTGAGATAAATGCTCAGGTTCTCAGGCTGAAGGAAGATGGTGCTGGAGAGAAAGCTGAGTGCACGGAGAAGGACCCGCCCCGGGAGGGGCCGGTGGCTCTACTCAAACAGGTGACATGTCCTCTCACTTTTTAACCTTTTCAAGAGGCAACCGACGGTTTCAAGCAAAAATAACAACATGTGTGTGACGCAGAGCACAGGCAGGAGTAAAACATCTCTGACAACAGCAGGGGGACGGCGGGGGGCGGCAGGGACGGGAGCTGTGGGACCCCGCGAGCTCGGACGCACAGCCCTGCCGGGCGCTGCCCCTCACCTGCGTCTGCTTGTCGCTGATGTGCCCAGCTTCTCCAAAGGTGTTCTTTTCTTACTGACTTACTGCAGTTCTTTATATATTTAAATACTGACGATTTCTGTCAGTAAAGTATGTTGCAGGTATCTTTTCCCAAGTGTGGCTAAACTTTACTTTGTTTACAGTGTCTCTTGATAAAGCTTTTAACTTCAACATGGTCAAATGCGTCAGTCTTTCCTCTTGAGGGCTGCACTTTTGCACCTTTTTAAAGAAATCTCTCCCTAGATGCTCTCCTTCACTTTACTCTTGAATTGTCCTCGGGCCTTTTACATTGACTCAGTAATAACTGAAATTCATCCCTGTGTGTGGAGAGAACAAAACGTGCTGGGGACCCAGCTTCATGGTTTCCTGGCCCAGGACACCAGGGGTACCGCCCCCTGACCCAGCCGCCACCTGCTGCACACTGGGGTGAGGCGGGGCAGGCGCTCCGCTGCCGCGCATCTAGGTGCCGCCTGCACACACACGCGCGTGCGCACACACACACACACACACACACACACACACACACGAGGCCCTCGGGCTGGGGGAGTTGAGGACACCCCCTTGCGGTGTTTCAGTAGTACTGCAGTGAGTCCTGCCTCTCTGCACTTCCACATCAATTCTAGTGTTGAAGTGTTAAGAAAACATTTTGATTGAAATTGCCTTAAATTAAAGATTATTTGGGGAAAGTCTGGTAGCTTTTAAAAATTTGCCTTTTAACAAAGGACCCCACAATTTGACAGCTGAAAACACGGATGGCTTGTGGCATTCCACGCCACTGGGGACTGTGACAGGGGCCGAGGCCTGGGACAGCAGCTGGACTCAGCCTCAGGTGGGGCCCCAGGCTGGGAGCCTATAGAGGCCACCCACCCGCAGACCTGCACACCACACGTGGCCCCGGCCCACCCCACCCACAGCCACCGTCAACAACCAGCCTCACAAGTGGCACGTGTCACCTCCCCACACTCCGCCGGTGGGAGCTGTCACAGGGCCCGGGGGTCTGGGGTCGGGGAGGACAGGGCCACATTGCAGGGGACATAGTGCAGAGAGGGTGTCCCAGGCACTGGGGCCAGAGTCAGGAAGGACGCTCTGGCGGCTGCCGATACCCAGGGCTGTCCGGCACGCAGCCTCTTGGCCCAGGCCTGCCGTCCCACCTGTCCTGCCCCTGCCCCTGCGCCCACTTCCCAAGGCCTGGGCCCTCGCTTCCTGTGTGGCGCCAGGCAGGCCCGCCGTCCACAGAGCCACACCGACGATGGCGCTCTGTGCCCATCCCACTGTGACAGAAAAGCTGTGAGCTGCTGCGTGGACATCAGCCCCATCTGTCCCCGGCCGCAGCAGAGGCAGAAGCAGCAGGCTCACAGCCATCGGGCCACGTGACGGCATCTCGGCCTGGACCCGGGGGGCGCTGTCACCCCACCCCGGGCCTCGCGCTCACACGAGCGTGCCCCCCACCCCAGGAGGAAGCAGAGGGACAAGCGGCTGCCCCGGGACGTACCTGACGAACTTGTCCACGTGCGACATGGAGGCTTCATAGTTCTTCCCTCCGAACTCCTGGCAGTGCAGGGCCAGGAAGTGCGGCCTGTGCGTGTGCACGACCTGGGGAGGAAACACGGCAGCGTCAGGCCCCCGCGGGGTTCCTGCCACAGTGCTTTCCCCACAAGTCCTGAGGACCTAGGTCCCCAGGGCCGTTCCCTCCCCGTTACTACAAATCCTCAGAAAGGATTCACAATTCCTCAGAACCTTCCTCAGTAATCTGGACATTTCCTCCCAACTATAGAGTCCCGCGTGTCAGCTGCAGGGCACCTGCAAAGGCCCAGAGGAGCAAACATGCATCCTAACCTCACACGTGAGGGCAGCCATCACTGATGCTGCTACGGCCGCCAGCGGAACCTGGTCCAGCCACGCGGCCCCTGGGCAGCGGAGCCAGCTTGGCCCACCTCCCCTCAGCGCCGCCCACCCACCACAGCCCACGGGGCCAGGCCTGCCACGTCTCCCTGGTCGCCAGGGTCCCCTGCCCGCTGGGCTCCGACTAAACTGGCCCCGAGGCAGCGCCCAACCTGCCACACTTCGGCCACTCGACCTGGAGTCGTCCTCGAAGCTGCGGCCGCTGACCCCCCCCAGCGGCTCCTCCAGGAAGCTCACAGGGCTGGTCCCGAGAGCGCCGTCCAGCTGCCCCCCGCTGCCCACACCCAACCCAGCACGGACCCAGCCGACCCCAGGCGGTGGCACGGACCTGCGTCTCACCCCTGCCGTAAGCCACGTTAGGCGTCTCCGGGCCACCCACAGGTCACCTGAGCAGGTGCCGACCCGCACGTGCTCACGAGGGGCCAGGAACCCACGGCCCTGCCCTCCTGGGGCACCAGGGACAGCGAGTCACCGATGGGGCACACTGTGTGGCAACGAGGCGGCGGTGCCAGGACATGCACCGGGGGCGTCAGCACAGCCTGGGGGAGCAGCAGGGGCAAGGGCTCCTGGGACCGGAAGGGCAGCGATGGAGGCATACCAGGAGGCCAGGCAGGGCGCTTGGAGGCCGAGAGGCTGCCTGTCCCCGCCTGCACCCGCCCCTCTGCCCTTCCTCGGCTCTGCGCTTCTCCGCCCCCTCCCTGGTACCTGCTGACACGGCAACACCGCCGGCTCTGAAGCCTCACCCAAACCCACAGAACTACCTTGTCCCTCCCCAGGCCCACCATCCCAGAGGCAGGTCCCCTACACAAGGCCATCCGCGCCTAAGGCCACAGTGTCAGCGCCTGAACCCGACCTCGGCCACCACCGCGTCCTGCCCGGAGGTCAGGGCACCGTGGACAGGTGAGGGCTGCATCCAACGGGCCTTGCGGAGATGGGTGCTCCGGGAACAACATCTATGTGGCCCCTGATGGGAAGCGGCTGCGTCGAGGGTTCAGCCAGGCCAGAAGGTCGGCCACAGGGACAGAGGACGCAGGCCATCAGGCCCTGGGCGCCACGCTTCTGCGAGTCTCGGAAGGAAGCATTGCGCAGCAGTAGCTGCCCCTGACCCGCAGACGGCAGACAGCACGTCCAGCCTCGGGGAGAGTGACTGGACCTGGTCCTGCTCCAGCTGTGACATCAAAGCACAATCCCCAAGACGGGGAGGCTCTTTAAACAGGAGGAAACTTCAGGCCAGAAAGTGTACTTTTCAGCCGCATGGGAAAGGCGATGCCAGCGGGTAGAGCGGCCTGCCCTGGCTCGCACCCTACGCTCCGTTGAAGCGGGTTTACGGGACGCCCACCGGGTGCTTCCGCTTCCCACTGGACACAGGCGTGGACTCTCTCTGTCCCTGGTCACCAGCCGCAGGGCTCAGGCTCTCGGGGACAGGGCCCAGAACAGGCCCAGACGTTTCCCCAGCTGGTGGCGCCACAGCCCTGCCCGGGGGCCGGGGTGGGGAGAAGAGGCGGCTCGCCTCGGCGGGCTCAGTCCTGCTCCGCGCAGGCGCTAAAGCACAGACTCCGAGACAAGCTGGATGCCGCCCGCCGGCGGCCCCCGGCAGGCGCCCTCACACACGATGCCCCCCGTGCAGCCCTTGCCGGCATGGAACGATCACAAGACAAAGTTCAGGAATCCCAGGGGTATCCATGCAGCAAATCACATTCACCAAGCGGAAAAGACTGCAGAATGGTCTCCGGGCCTGAAGCCTGGATGCAAAGGGCACAGGGGACCCCAGTCAGGAGAGGCTCCGGGCCAGCCTGGGTCAGATCACCAGACCGACCTGCCCTCAGGCCCAAGGTCGAGTGTGCACAATGCCAGCCACGCCCACAGCTGCACACAGCAGCCTGGCCACACGGAAGCCACCAAAGGCTCCCTGATGTGTGCAGCTCTGTCCCCCACCCTCTGCAGTACCCAGAACAATATATAAAACCAGACCTTCACAAAGGGGGCACAGAATTCCCCCAGGAGCAGTTCCTCTCTGGGAAGCTGGTGACTTCACACAAACTGAATGCGACGCTCTGACACACGCAGATCGTCACGAGCACGACTGTAAGGTTCGTGACACCAGTTCCTGTAATTCTGCAGCGTGTTCTTTGCCCAGCTCTACAACAGGCGTGGGAAAAGGAGAAGGAAGCCCCAGAGACGCTTGGGTTTTGTGGGTGAAGACGGGGCCCCAAGTCAGTGACAGGTTCCTGCAGTTCACACTGTCACCTCTTGTAACCGAGGCTGCAGGTCACCAGATCGTGGCTGGGACCACGACCCAAGTCCCCAGTAAAAGCCAAGCGGAGCCGCTTTCCAAGGACTTTCCATTATGAATTAGGGCAGCGAGGACGAGGGGCCCACGTGCGGCCGCGTTAAGTCACAGACACACGGGGTCTCTCTGGGCAGGCCTGCCCACCTGTCTGCCTTCACCCGAATCCCATACACGTCGCCCTCGTAAGACGACTCTCTGCTGTGGTTTAAATTGAAATAGCCGTTTATGGCACAGAATTCACTCTTTAAATCATATGAAACTCCTCAGACATTTGACTCTGATCCCACAAATCTCAGAAAATGGAGAAATCCAAAAAGAGCAGCCCCTCGGGAGTGGGCGGACGCCCCTCGTGTGGACTCCAGAGCAGCCGGGTGGCGCCCAGCAGAGGGTCCCCTTCCTGGGACGTGCAGCCGTCTCTGCGGTGGTTTATCTCTGAAACCCGTGGCGGGCTTGCCTGAGCTACAGGTCCTGGAGGAGCAGGGGCCCAGGGCAGCCCCCACCTGCCCGCCCGAGCCTCAGCTGCAAAGGAGAGACGAGGCCTGTGTACGGATGGCGGGGGGACCGGGCACCGGCGAGGGAAGGGGCCTGGCGGTACCACCGAGGTGGGCGCTCCAGGAGCTGCCGGGGCTCCGGCCCTGCTGTGGGCCAGGGAAGCCCCTTCACAGCCACAGCTGAGGAAGCAAACGCCGGCCCGGGGGTGGGCGGGCTGGGACCTCGCGCCCGTGGGGGGCCGCGCCTGAGCTTACAGCAGCACCGGGGGACGCATGGGGTGGGCACCACCCCGATGGGCACGCTGTGGGCTTCCCGGGCACTCACGGGGCCAGACAGCCCACTCCTCTCAGTCTGAGGTCACCCTGCGCAGAACACGTCTCCCTACAGCGCTGCCAACGTTCTTCCCGAAGGACCAGCCCGTCCACTCGGGCTTTGCCTTAAACAACTGGGAAGAGGCAACACTAGCACCAAGCCGGCGGGTCTGCTGGCTCCGGGACGCACGGCTCCATCTCGCCCTGACGTGCGAGGCTGGGGTCCAGGGCTGCACCACGGAGCGCCCAGAGCAAGAGCAGAGCTGGGGTTCCCCTGCCTCTCGTCTTCCCGGCCCGCACACCTGCGCACCAAGTCCGTCTGACCCCAGGCTCATCTCCACGTGTGTCTCCCCTGCCCCACCGTGCTCCTCCCAGGGCCTCTTGCATCTCCACCTCCAAGAAAAGACGTGGTGCCTGAAAGCCCTCCAGGAGCACTTTTTCGTGCTGTAAACTCACAAAGGATAGTGACAAAATGAAGAGTTGAAATTCTCAGAAAATCTGGCTTACGAGGTTTCCATTAGGATTGTGCTTGGCCAACAACAGAAAACCAACAACCAGCCGCTTGCATAAGGAGGCCGGGCTGGCAGGCAGAGATGGTGCACCTGCTCGCAGACGGCATCCAGGAACCAGCTGCTTCCACCATGTCTGCTCTGCCACTGCGAGCACTGGCTATCATCCTCGTGACTGCAACATGGCTGCAAAGCCCCCAGGCCTCATGCCTACATTCCAGGCGGGAAGAAGTGGAAAGGGCATAAGGTTAAAGGAAAAGGGGAAAGGGCTTCTTTTCTAGTGCTTTGCCTACTTTATTTAGACAAGAATGCTCTCGCCGGGGACTTCTGCCTACACACTGTGTCACAGGACACCCCCAGAAGCCACGCACAGGTGGCACTGGCTGGCACTCTGCAAGCAACAGAGCCCGGTGTGGGTCACGTGCAACCATACATCGGGGGGGGGGTGCCGTCTGCCCCCTCTGCCGCAGCCTCCGCCACACCACGTACCCACCTTCCAGTCTCCCAAGTCCCAGGCTGAAATGAAGGACAATTGTAGGGTGGCCACATCTGTGACCCCCTTTGGTGCCATGGTCTCTGAAGACCACTGGTTAGCAAAGCCCTGGGCACAGACAAAGGGCTCGCTGACTAAGGAACCTGCTGTCCCTCTTCTCTTGACACCCCCCAGACCTGAGCCCCTCTTCAGAAGGCTGTGCTCCAGCCCAGTCAAGGTGCTGGGTGCAAACGCGCCACAGACACGCAGGTTCTTCCAGCCTGCCCAGTGCTGGCGCCTGCGACTCGGCATACAGCCAGGGCCGCGTGTCCGCGTGTCCACATATCCCCACGTGTCCTTGGCCTGGAGCCGTGCGGGCAGCTCCCGCCCCTCCACGCCTTGCCCTCCAGTCCCCGCCATTGCGTTCCGGTCTTACTCAAACACCAAGTCATCTGTCCCAGCTCAGCGGGAGGGAGACTTTCCGGCTGGACTCCCTGCGCTGCAGCTCTGCCCAGACAGAGGCTGGGGAGCCCCACCCAGCAGAGGTGAAGCCCCTGTGTGCCCACAACACCATCCCCGACTTTCTGGGGAAGGATGACCCCTATCCAACACATTTT